ATATGCGACTTATAAAGTTAAGTAAATTTGCTGATCATTACAGGTAGGTCTTACCTGGCTCTGAGATACAAAATTTTATTTGAATTTAAACTTCTAGGTATAAATTATGGTTTTAAATTATTATTTATAATTGAGACTCCAGCTACTGAGGATACCAAAAAAATACATCAGTGGCAATAATAAGATCGATGCACTGAGCCTTAAAGAACAGTATGTTGTACTTTTTAAATGTTTTGCACCATATATTAGTATTGTAGCATATTGTATAAGGAAAAAAAGTAAGGAAACTTAAATTTTTCAATCATTTTATTAAGAAATTCAAATCTCAATACAGAAAGTTTTTAATTGATTTGGAACCCCAACTTAAAAGCTAAAATCTATCAAAAGTATAGAATGTGACAGGAAAGCATTTTTGGGTTGAAAAATAAATATTAAGAATTAAACTGGTTTGATACTTGAAACACTCATATGAAAATCAAGACTTTGTTAGTTATGATAGAAACAGTAAAAAAAATCTTTGGCTCAAAAGTGTGCATTTACCTCTTGTAATACTAGGAGCTGCAATTCAGTGTGCTTCCTAATTGTACATGAGTGACGAGGCATTTCTTTAATTTCCACCAGTGATGCTATTAAGGAACTTCACCTGCTTATTTTGACAGGCAGTAATGGTATGCCACTGATGTCTCTTTTATTAAAATTTGTAATCACATCTAAGCAAATTTAATCACTTGAATATTTTGCAATCATAAAAATAAAAACTGTCTCTGAATATTGTTAATATGACAATATCACCATGCAGCGAAATAGTTTCGATTTTTTGGGTGGAAATCGTAGGTCTGACAAAAAAATGCTTTTCAAAAATACTGTTTATACATAGTGACATTGTGATACTAACGATATTAGGATCATGCAAAGGAACAGTATTTTAATTTCATAAAATTTGCTCAGAAATCACTGATGATTTTAAGAGCAATTTTTATTTTAAGAGAAATCAGTTGCCTACTATCATTGTCTGCCAAAATAGGCAAGTGAAATTCGTACGAACGCCACTGGTGGGAATTGAAAGAATGTTACATTACAAATACCTCTTGATGTCCATGTATGCCAAACTTTGATAAAGTATTTAAAGTGGTATTCCAGATCTTTACAAAAATTTTTATTAATTTTTGAAATGTCTACCACTCTGTTTCTCAAAGGTCAAGAGATTTATTATATACGTCATATGAAATATTCGTCTTAAAATGGACTCAAAGTTGCCCCCTTAAATATAGACATTCAATTGGAAAACACCCTGTATATTTTATGTAAGTAAATTAAAAATGAATAAAGGTTATTGTGATACACTGTTGTTGTTTTTCATTTTTGATATATTGGTTTTTATAACTCATAACTCCTATAATTAGTTGTACCTTTTGGATATAAAGTCATCATTGGATTAGTGATACTTACGTTTTGACATACTACGTATGAGTTCATTAACAATTTCATGTATTATACTTTTCAGATGGCAAGTATTTGTTGAATGTAAATAAAAGCATCATTGGTAAAATCAATATTTATTTAGAAATATAATAGGTTCTTTCAGAAATATATGTAAATACAGATTTCATCAAAACAAATGAGTAGATGTCTTATGGG